ATGTGGGGCTCGATCCCAGGACCCTGGGATCATGACCCGAGCCGAGGGCAATGCTTAACGACTGAGCCACATTTTTGACTAAATGTTGAGAGAAAGGTTATCCCTGTCCCTAAGTTTAAAGAAATGCTATGGATTATTTTGTAGATACTCTTCTTTGTCTATTTCTAGTTTAGTAATACATTTTTTTTTAAATTGTCAGTGGTGGGGCACCTGGGTGGCTCAGTCAGTTGAGCAGTAGACTTTTAATTTCAGTTCAGGTCATGATCTCAGGGTCCTGGGATTGAGCCCCATATTGGGCTCTGCGCTCAGCAAGAGGTCTGTTCAAGGACTCTCTCCTCTTCCTCTACTCACTATCCTTCCATTCCTGGAATAAAGTCAGCTGTGTCTAGTATGATTCTTCCTATATTTGGTTTTCTTAGTAATCGTCCTATACATCAGTGGATGTGGTTTCTCAGTATTTTATTTAGGCTTTTTATAGCTAATTTAATAAATGCAATTGGCCTATAAATGTCTTTCTCATATTATCCTTGAAATCCCATACTGTTTCCTTCAGTTGTCCTATAGCCTAAGACACAGAGTTGCATTTTCCTTCAGAGTTCTTAGCAGTGTGATATTGAGAATATTAAGCTGTGTTAATACATTTCTAGGGTGTCCTGGCAACTCTAGATTACTCTCTGTTAAATTGATTTTTCATAGCCAGAATTAATTCTTTAACAGCACTGTTTAGAGTATGTAAGAGACCAGCTGGGTTTTTCATGAAGATGAAGTCTCAACAAGAGATATGTATTTGAGATTTCAGTTGAGACTTCATTGTAGAGTTTAAGGACACACAAAGTGTGTGTCAGAGGCAGACAGCCTGTATTTGTTTTGCTTTTTGTAGGCAAGTTTAGCTTCATTGAGGTATAATTTACCTACAGTAACTCCTACCAATTCTTCATGTACAAATTTGATGAGTTTGTCAAAGGTATACCAATGTGTAACCTCTTCTTGAATCAATACATAGGACTTTTGCGTCAACCCCAAAAGTTCCCTGGTGTCACCTTTTCCATTTGAGACCATACTCCCATCCTCTGTTCCCTCATGATCATTTATGTGCTTTCTATAGTTACATGTATTCTTTTTTTTTTTTTAAGATTTTATTTATTTATTTATTTGAGAGAGAGAATGAGAGATAGCATGAGAGGGAAGAGGTTCAGAGGGAGAAGCAGACTCCCTGCTCAGCAGGGAGCCCAATGTGGGACTTGATCCCGGGACTCCAGGATCATGACCTGAGCTGAAGGCAGTCGTTTAACCAACTGAGCCACCCAGGCGCCCTATAGTTACATGTATTCTAATACCTCATATAAACTGAGTTATACAGTAAGTAGTTGTGTCAGTGGGAGTCCCATTCCCTGGCCTCAGTTCTTGAGTTCTGCCAAGAAAGAATTCAGAGCCAAACTCTTAAGCAAGCAAAGGTTTAATAGCAGTTTAAGCAAAAGTACATTCTTGAGATGGGAGAGCGAGCAGGCCCAGAGGTTGCAGCTGCACCCTGGGTCAGGGTTGTTTTTTCTTTTTGTGTTTGGATAGGTTAGGGGTCATAGCTAGGGCGGTTTCTGAGGTTGCAGCCAGTCATCTAAGGGACTCCATCTACTGGAGGAATTTTTGGCCTTATATGGTCCTTGTCAGAACTGTCATGGCAGCCGTTTTCTGGGGAGGGGGTTAAAACCACAGTGTAAATGTATTATAATAAAGCTCCAAGTTACTGTAGGGCAGTGGTCATAGGGAAGAATGCAGGCATATCCCATGGGGTCTTTCCCAGGTGTTTGGAGTTTGGCCTCCTCCCTTTTACAATCGGAAATCACTTGTTCCCTGCTCATATCTAGCTAACTGCCTACTCTGTCATTCGCTGGTGTTTGGCTTCTTTCGCTTAGAATAATGCTTTTCATCTTCATCCATGATTTGCATTTATCATTAGTTTATTCCTCTCCGCTGCTGAGTAATAATCGGTGGCACAGATATGCTGCAACATGTTCATTCCCCAGTTGATGGATGTTTTGGATTTTGGAGGTCAGTTTTGGATATTCTGAATAAAGCTACAGTATGCATTCATGTACAAGTCAAAGTGGCTGTACCATGTTGTATTTTTACCAGCAGTGCAGGAGAGTTCTTTTTCTTCACATCCTAGTCAGTACTTAGTAATTTCGGTCTTTTAGATTATAGCCATTCTGGGGCAACTGGCTGGCTAAATTGGTGGAGCACAGGACTCTTGATCTTAGGGTTTTCAGTTTGAGCCCCAAGTTGAGCCTAGAGCTGATAGATAGATAGATAGATAGATAAAATTACCGCCATTATAACGGGTTTGTAGCAATATTTTATTTAGGTTTTAATTTGCTTTTTGTTGTGTAACCTAAAGCAGCTTTTTGTGTTTTTATTAGCCATCTCTCTACTTTTGGAGAGGGAAGTGTCTATTTAAATCTTTTGTTTCTTGGGGCACCTGGGTTGCTCAGTCGTTAAGCGTCTGCCTTTGGCTCAGGTCATGATCCCGGGGTCCTGGGATCAAGCCCCACATTGGGCTCCCTGCTCCGCGGGAAGCCTGCTTCTCCCTCTCCCACTCCCCCTGCTCGTGTTCCCTCTCTTGTTGTGTCTCTCTCTGTCAAATAAATAAATAAAATCTTAAAAAAAAAAAAACACTCTTTAAATCTTTTGTTTCTTTTTTACTAGATTGTTTCTTTTGTGAAGTTGGAAAAGCTCTTTGTTTTTTTTTAGATAGAAGTATTTTAGTCAGGTATGCATTTTTTTTTAAAGATTTTATTTATTTATTTGACAGAGAGAGACACAGCGAGAGAGGGAACACAAGCAGGGGGAGTGGGGGAGAGAGAAGCAGGCTTCCCGCCGAGCAGGGAGATCCCAGGACCCTGGGATCATGACCTAGCATGAGAGGGAAGAGGTTCAGAGGGAGAAGCAGACTCCCTGCTGAGCAGGGAGCCCGATGTGGGACCCGATCCCGGGACTCCAGGATCATGACCTGAGCCGAAGGCAGTCGCTTAACCAACTGAGCCACCCAGGCGCCCTCAGGTATGCATTTTGTTAATATTTTACTCTAGCCTCTAACTTGATCCTTAGTTTTACAAGTGTCTTTTTTTTTTTAATATTTTATTTATTTATTTGACAGAGAAAGAGAGACAGTGAGAGAGGGAACACAAGCAGGAGAGGGAGAAGCAGGCTTCCCGCTGAGCAGGAAGCCTGACGCAGGGCTCGATCCCAGGACCCTGGGACCATGACCTGAGCCGAAGGCAGACACTTAATAACTGAGCCACCCAGGTGCCCCTACAAGTGTCTTTTGAATATCAAAAATTTTAGTACTGAGGATGCCTAATTTATCAGTTTTTTTTTCTCTTATTGTGCATTTTGTGCCCTTTCAAGAAATCTTTGCCTAATCCAAGGTCCCTTAAAGTGTTTCTGTGCTTTCTAATAGAAGTTTCACTGTTTCTTTTTTAAGTAATCTCTACACCCAACGTGGGGCTTGAACTCACAACCCCAAGATCAACAATCACCTGCTCTACTGACTGAGTCCGCCAGGCACCCCAACAGTTTCAATTCTTAAATCTATAATCTATTGAATTAATTTTGTTATGGGGTAAACACGAATATCCTATTGTTTCAATAGCATTTGTTAAACATTTTATTATTTTTTTTATCATGCTCATGCTTGTCTCTAACTTGTTGAATATATGGAGTGTATATAATAGTATTTTTGGTGTACTGGTCCACCAGGTCTCTCCTTTTGGCCATTTTTGTCTGTTTCTCTTGCTTGATTTTTTCCCCCTAGCCATGGGTCATATTTCCTTGCTTCTGTGCATGTCTGGTAATTTTTGATTGGATGTCATATATTGTGAGTTTCATATTGTTTGCAGGATTTTCTTTTAATTCCTTTAACTACTTTTGAGGTTGGTTCTGGGATGTAACCAAGTTACTTTGGAACAGTTTGATTCATTGGAGGCTTTCTTTTAAGCTTTATTAGGTAGTGCCAAAAGAGTCTTTTGTCTAGGATTGTTTTGTCCCCATTTCTGAGGTAATATTCTCCTGAGACCTCTGCATTGCATGAGACCAGGCATATTAGAAGGTCTTTCCACCCAGGTTAGTGGGAACGCTTAACTATTCCTGATCTTGTGTGAGCGCTAGGAATTGTTCCACCTGCTCCTTTCCAGTGGCCTTGGTAGTTTCCTCACAGCTCATTAGTGCTGAGCCAGAGACTCAAAGGAACCCTCTGCCTCTATAGAGTGAGTTTTCCCTCTCTTCTCTGGTATACTGCCTGGCAAGTGTTAGTCATCTTTTCTTCCTCAGACTTTGAATTCTGTATCATTAACTCAGCAACACTGCTAGATTCTTCAGGTTCCTTCTCCCCGTGCTGTGGCCTAGAAAGTCTCCGGGCAGTGAGCTACAGCACATAAGGGTCTCACCTTGTTTCCCTTTTTCTCTGACTTCTGTGTGAGAAAATTGTTTAGACGTGTTTCCTTTTTTTTTTTTAAGTTGGTTAAGATGAAAGGATAGATCATAATTTGGTAATTTTACCTGGAATCAGAGGTTCTATCAATTCCGAGGGTTTGTGTTTTAATCCGTGGTCCACCCGTTACTGTGTGGCTTTTAGCTAGGTGCCTGACCTTTCCTATGGAATAATTATAGTCTACCCCATAGGATTGTGAGGGTTAAATGAGAAAAGAAATGCTTAAAACGGTTCCTTGCATGTATAGGAACCTGCTTTTATTATTTTTTCCATGCCAAACAAATCTTTCCTTGAATCCATAGATGCTGGCTTCCTAGAATGAGGTACTTCCTATAAAGGACAAAGTAGATCTCAAGTTTAGAAGTTCATCCTTGCTGAGGATACCCTTGATGAGACACTGAATGCTGAAAATGACCAAGTCCCAGGTGAGCTGTTTATTTCCCAGATTTCTAGAAGTTTATAAAAATGTATACAATCTGATGGATGACAGAGTTGGTAAGGTGGTGGGGGGATGGGCAAAATGGGTGAAGGGGAGTGGAAGATACAGGCTTCCAATTATGGAATGAATAAACCATGGGACTAAAAGATACAACATAGGAAATATAATCAATGATATTGTAATAGTGTTGTATGGTGACAGATGGTAGCTACACTGTGGTGAGTGTAACTGTAGACTTGTTGAATCACTATATTGTACACGTGAAACTAATGCAACATCATGTGACAACTATAGTTAACAATTTAAAAAACATATAATCAGAGTGAATGATGTATGTAAATCTGTTGCAGCTGGGAGAAATGTGCTTAGACTGGGAAACAGAATAATGCTCTGGAGTAGCCAGTCAGGAAGGGAGTACTGTCTTATCTGTATAGCTCATGTTGCAAGGTGCTAACAATTGGGACATTCCCACATAAGTGGCAGGATCCAGAGCTGAGTTGCAGACATTTCTGTAGTAATACTGGAAACCATCACAGAAGAATAAAAACATGTTATAAGATTTACTTTGTATATAAGGAGGAAGCACATGGACTTTCTGAGTAAATATTTCCCAGAGATTAAATGTGAAGAAGTGTCTTTGATGGGTCTTCCTCTTCTGTTTTTCTCCAGAGTATGGACCCAGTGAATGGTCATCTTCCTAAGGAAACGTGGGAGCTATAAAAGGCATAGCTAGAAAACTTTAAAAATCTCTTCTTAGCTACCAAGAGAAGAATAATTTTTACCTAAGGGTCTTTGTGTAGGTCATTGTGTGAACATATGTAAAGTGTTTAAAACAATATACAGCACATAGTAAGAGCTCTGTTTTTGCTTTTATGAATATCATGATTTAATACATAGCACAATTTCTTAAAAGGCAGTTCTGAGCATAACATACTTTTGTATATGAAAAACACTGTAGTGTCTACCAAGTGTCTGCAGGAAATGTGTACACTTACTCCAAGTTCTGTTGCTGCCTGTACCCTATTGCACTTCTTGCAGTTCCTTGAACCCAGCATGGTATTTAACATTATTAACACACGCTTCCTCTGGAAGACCCACGGCTCCCGTGTCTTCCAGCGCTTATTGTGGAACACACCACTAAATGCGCTGCACCTCTTCCAGCTTGACCTCTTCTTCAGAACTAGTTCCTCACCTACTTGTGCCCATATTTTAACTTGAGTATACTTCTGTTGTAACCCTTGTTAAACCATAATGTCTTGCCGTATATGAATTCTGTAAAGGAGTGTACTTGCCACTCTGCAAGATCAGAAGCTTCCTGAAGTCAGGACTATGCTTTATTTCCTTTTTTATTGCAATGTATAGTAGGTAACATTAAATGCTCCTGGGGAGCCTCGGTGGTCTAGCTGGTTAAGGGGCTGACTTCGGCTCAGGTCATGATCTGGGTCCTGGGATTGAACCCCATGTCGGGCTCCCTGCTCAGCGGGGAGTCTGCTTCTCCCTCTCCCTCTGCCCCTCCCACAGCTTGTGCTCTCTCTTTCATAAATTAATTAATTAATTAAGTAAGTAAAAAAATCTTGGGGGGGAACAAAAAACAAATGCTCCTAAGGTCAGTTGCAGATGGTTTTAGGTAAAGTGTTTTTGTTTTTTTTTTAAGATTTTTAAAATTTATTTATTTGACAGAGAGAGAGACAGCGAGAGCGGGAACACAAGCAGGGGGAGTGGGAGAGGGAGAAGCAGGCTTCTGCTGAGAGGGGAGCCCGATGCAGGGTTCCATCCCAGGACCCTGGGATCATGACCTGAGCCGAAGGCAGATGCTTAATGACTGAGCCACCCAGGTGCCCCTAGGTAAAGTTTTAACAACATTTTACATTGGGTGAATGAATGAGTGACAAAGTGAATGAAGAGTGCAGAAAGGAGGGGTGCCTGGGTGGCTCAGTCAGTTAAGCATCCAACTCTTGATTTCAGCTCAGGTCATATCTCAGGGTTGTGAGATAGAGTCCTGTATCAGGCTCTGTGCTCAGTGGCGGGGAGTCTGCTTGAAATTCTCTCTCTCCCTCACCCCCTCCCTTGATTCTCTCTCTCAAATAAATAAATCTTTTTTTTAAAAAATGCAGAAAGGATTGTTTTAATGGATTTATTAGTGCACAAAGTATAAATCGAAACTAGATTAAAGAAATAACTTGTTTATAAATTTCTATAGTAAAAATAATCAGAATAATATCCTATGTATCTTCTATATTTTATTCCATTATATTAACTCTGGATTAAAAAGGATTATGTTATTACAGGGCTTGTTGTCATTCAGTGATGTGGCTGTGGATTTCACCTGGGAAGAATGGCAGCTACTAGATACTGTTCAGAGGAACCTCTACCGGGATGTGATGTTGGAAAATTATAGCAACCTAATGTCTTTGGGTAAAGACAACGTTCCTAAATATCTCAGCATGAGCCCATTAATTGCCTGTTTTGTTTTATTTTTTCCCATTGATATAATTTATGGGTACTCTGATATTCTTATTGATTTTGGAGTCGTATAGGTGGTAGAACTTATTTTATGACCAAATAGTGACGGTACTTACTTTCATTTTCTGAATGAAAAGTTTCTGTTTTGCTGAGATTCCCTGAAACGGAATTTTTCATCATAGGCCCTAATACTGCTCAGTTCTCTGGGATTGCCTCTTGACAGGTTATCAAGCCACTAGGCCAGAAGCAACGGTCCCCTTGGAGAAAGGAGAACAAGGAATGCTAGAGAGAGAATTCCCAAGTCAGTGTAGTCCCGGTGAGTACACCAGTGCAGTGGGAGTTGTTGGAAGCCAAGTGACAGTTGATCACTGGTGCGTGGGGGCCCTGGTTATTTTAATATTTTTTCTCATAGTGTCTGAACCTTAAGAGGTGACTTAGAGCAAGTGAAAAGAGGTCATCAGTGTGAATGGGGCTTCCTTCTCTCACCATATATGACTCATTTGCTAGCCACCTAGCAGAAGATGTACTTCCTTTTATCTACTCTGGGTCAGATCTTCGCCTGTTTCATTTGGTCTTTCCTTTTAGGGTTAGTTCTTTTGCAGGTGGTGAGACACAACCTGCCTTCCTACATCTTACCCATATTCACATAGCTTTTCTATTATGCTTTCAGATACTCACTGATTCCCTCCAGGATACCATGTCTTCAGTTCATTACTTATTGTCTGTTTCTTTTATTGAATACCTCTGACTTACACTGTGCACCTGCTGTATCACTTTCTCCATTCTCTTTGGATATTGACTTGAGATTCCATCCCTCCCCCCCAATTTCATAATGGTAGGATTCATTGATTTTTTTTCCCCTAGAAGTAATGTGGCAAGTTTAGGGTTAGTATCAGGAAAATATTGAGAAGGATGAATCTGTGGAGGGAAATAATGAAAATAATGCATTGGGAAAAATATTTTCTCTGAGCAAAAGCTTTGTTCCTTTTGTAGAAAGACCCCTTCAATGTTTCTCAAGAGGAATACATTTGAAACAAAAATCAGATTCAAAATTTCAGAGTAAAAACTATACAGAAATGAATTCTGTTGAATTAAACAGCCATGGGAAACCATTTTTCCATACTCTACATGAAACCTGCCATACTCAGGCCCAGTACAATGAACATAATTTGTGTGTGAAGACTTTCAGCATGGTGAAAAATCTTAAAAGACATCATAGAATTCACACAGAAGGGAAACCTTATGAATGTAGTGAGTGCCCAAAATCCTTCAGGTATAAGTCAAAGCTCGTAATACACCAGAGAACTCATACAGGAGAGAAGCCGTACAGATGCCCTGAATGTCAGAAAGCTTTCAGTACAAAATGTCATCTCACTCTACACCAGAGAACTCATACAGGAGAGAAACCTTATGGATGTATTGAGTGTCCGAAATCTTTCAGAACAAAGTATCATCTCATTCTACACCACAGGACTCATACAGGAGAGAAACCCTATGAGTGCAAAGAGTGTGGAAAAGCTTACAGGGAGAAGACAAAGCTCAGATTGCATTGCAGAATGCATACAGGAGAGAAACCTTTTGAGTGTAGTGACTGTGGGAAAGGTTTTATGCAGAAGTCAAACCTGATTATCCATCAAAGAACTCATACAGGAGATAGACCCTATGGATGTAGACAATGTGAAAAGACCTTCTGTAGTAAGTCTCAGCTTGTTGTTCACCAGCGAACTCATACAGGAGAAAAATCGTACGAATGCAAGGAATGTGGGAAAGCCTTCAATAAAAACTCACATCTCCTGACACATCAGAGAATTCATAGAGGAGAGAAACCTTATGAATGCAGTGAGTGTGGAAAAGCTTTTGTATACACAGCACAGCTTATTGTACATCAGAGAAATCATACAGGAAGAAAACCTTATGAATGCAAGGAGTGTGGGAAAACCTTCAATAAAAAGTCACACTTCATAACACATCAGAGAATCCATACGGGAGAGAAGCCTTATGAATGCAGTGAATGTGGAAAAGCTTTTATAGACAATTCACAGCTTATTGTTCATCGAAGAACTCACACAGGAGAGAAACCTTATGAATGCAAGGAATGTGGGAAAGCCTTTAATAAAAAGTCGTCCCTCATAACACATCAGAGAATTCATACAGGAGAGAAGCCTTATGAATGCAGTGAATGTGGAAAAGCTTTTATAGACAAGTCACATCTCATTGTCCATCAGCGAACTCATACGGGAGAGAAACCCTATGAATGCAGTGAATGTGGAAAAGCTTTCATACGAAAGGCAATGCTCATTGTCCATCAGAGAACACATACAGGAGAGAAACCCTTTGTATGTCTTGAATGCCAAAAAGCCTTTAGCAGTATGGCAATGCTCAGTAGACATCAGTTGATTCATACAGGAGAGAGACCCCATGCATGCAATGAATGTGGAAAAGCTTTCCGCCAAAAAAGCCATCTTATTATCCATCAACGGTGCCATACCGGAGAGAAACCCTATGGATGTGTTCCATGTGGTCAGATCTTCAACCAGAAGTCCCAGCTCATTAGACATCAGAGACGCCACACAGGAGAGAAACCGTATCAGTGCACTCAGTGTGGAAAAGCCTTTTTTGAGAAATCATACCTCAGTGTCCATCAGAGAAGTCACGCAGGACAGAAACCTTATCAGTGTAATGAGTGTGGGAAAACATTCTCTGTGAAGTTCTTTCTTACCTCACATGAGGAAATTCATACAGGAAAGAAATCTCAGGAACACACTGAGCACTGTAAAGACTTTAGTGAGATGTCAGATCTCACTGAATACAAGAGAAATCACACAAGACACACTCTATGAATGCTGTGAAAGTTAGGATACTTTTGGTTGGTGTCAGAAAACTTATCCAGGAGAGAGATCTTTTAAGTGCAGTGAATATAAGAAAATTACCTACGACTAGTGTAGCCTCATTTCATTGGAGAAAGGCATATGAATGAGATGAAAAGTCAAAATCTTTTCTTGACACGTGAAATCCCATTATACATCACACAGAAGTGAAACCTGAGTGCAACAGATGTTTTTGATGGGTCATCCTCTAATAGTTTTCACCAAGGGAAAAAAAACAACAACTCACAAATGTTGTGAATCCTGGAATACTTTCCAAACAAATGAGCTTTCACACCAAAGAAAATAGAAGACTGAAGACTTGCAATGAGGAATGCCTCTGGCATGAGGTCTAAACTTAATATGCATCAGATAACACTTAAGGAGAAGTAGTATGGTGTAATGATGCTGGGAAAGGTTGCTTACATATAAACTTTATAACAAAAATTTCGTTCCTGTCCATTGCCATTTATTTATGGAAAATATAACATGAAGTAGTCAGAGCAAATAACTTCGGTATGCCAAAGGACACTTTGTTTCATGTTTGAATATATTGGATAGTCAAAACAGTAAGTTAAGAATGGTCCAAGATGAATGTATTTGTTTTGTGTCTATTTTTGTAGTACATGTATACAGTAATCTTCAGGTTTCATAAGATCATGAAAGAAAGTTGTATACCACAAAATTGTTTGTAATGTGTAGTATCCATCAAGAAATGCCAACATTGTACATTTTTTAATATCATATAAATTGCAAGGGAAGTATTTAGGCTTAAGATTATGAGCTTTTTAAAAATTCTTTACTGGTATACATAGTGGATCTGGTAATAATTTTAGCCCTTTGGAATAATAAATTTTTTGAAACAAATTGTCTTCTGGTTGTCACTCAGAAAAAATAAATCCATTAAAAATAGTGAGATTTGGGGTGCCTGGCTGGCTCAGTCGGTGGAACATGTGACTTTTTTTTTTAAAAGATTTTATTTATTTATTTGAGAGAGCATGAGCCAGGGAAGGAGCAGAGAGAGAAGCAGGGTCCCCACTGGGCAGGGAGCCCAACGTGGGGCTCGATCCCAGGACTCTTGGAACATGACCTAGCCGAAGGCAGATGCTTAACCAACTGAGCCACCCAGGCGCCCTGAGCATGTGACTCTTGATCTTGGGGTTGTGTGACTCTTGATCTTGGGGTTGTGTGAGCCTCACATTGGATGTAAAGATTACTTAAAAAATCTCTTTAAAAACTATGGAGATTTAAGAGTGATGAGTAATCACACGTCTTCTGTCCCTAAGTTCTGAAAAACTAGAAGCAGCTGCTATTTCCAAAGAAATGAAAACAGCAGATGCACAAGGGAATGTCTTGTACTACCTACAGGCTAACCCAAACAGAAAAAGGAAGTGAGCACAGACTATGTCTATGTTTAGGAGGGACCTCATAATCCTTTGGTAAGACAGCACAGCAACTAATAACTATTAATAGTCATTAAAATACATATTAATAAAAGTTAATTCACTCTATATTCACATTAATTTACTCTGTTGCTGCAAGGTACGTATAATCAAAGTGTAGTAAACTTCAAAAAAGATGATAGGCAAAAATAATCCTATCATGTTGTTTTAAGAATTACATAGACCTGAACTTACGTGACAACAGCAGCATGTAAATTGCAAGAAGTATCCTGTATTAAAGTGTTCTAAAGTACTTTCTATTTTCCTAAAGAAGTATAAAGTTGTTAACTTCGAGTGTTAAGAATGCATGTTATGGTTAAGGATGCACGTTTAAAGTAATCATTAAGGAAAATAAAGTAATCATTAAGGGAGTAGGAGCAGGGTATACATCTTCCAAACTAGTCAAAGGCAACGGTAAAGAGCAAAAATAGAATGATTAAAAACCCAAAATCATCACGAACCCAAAAGAACGCTAAAAAGTAGAGCTTAATAAAGAAACAGAATAAGTGCCCAAATAGAGGTAGGATCAAACAAAAATTTGTTAGTAAGTTAAATGTAAATGAATTAAATGTTCTGGTTAATATACAGACTTGTTATTGTCAGACTTGATAAATAAAATTAAAATACTGGTTTTTTTAAATGAAATAACCACATAAAACATGGAATGGATTTTCTTTTATGAAAAAGCATCTCATGCAAATACTAAACATGACAAAACTAGTACAACTAAATTAATATCAGAAAAAAATAATCTCTAAGGGGACAGTCACTAGTCATGGGAAGAAATGCTAAATTCATACATCAAACAGGGACTCAAATTATCTAAAGCAAAAATGTAAGATTTATAGAGACAAATTTACAATCATAGAGGGAGATTTTAATCCCTTTCTACCAGTATATTACAGAATAAACTGATAAAATGTTTATAAAAGTTTTGAACATACTAAATAAAAATAAGTATAATGGAGGTATTATATACAACATCCTCAAAATGCACAGAATTTTCAAGTACTTCTTTTCAAAGTTTACCATGTTTGCATGTTCTGGGCTATACAGCAGTTCAACAAATTTCAAAGTTTGAACTAAATAATATGCAATCAGGTCCTGTTAAGCTCACATACACTTAGAAGTCAATGACAAAAATTAGCTAGAAATCTATAATTTTGGAAATTAGGAAACAATTCTAAATATTTTATTTAGAAATAATTATTTTTCCAACTTTGCCATCTAATATTTTTAAGTATAAAAAGGTTGAAAATCTAAATAATGGTCCCTATGTACCTACAAAATAGATTCAACAAATTAACCATTTTGTTATGTACCTATTTTCCATTTAGTTATCTGCCTATTTTTTTCAAAATCATCTGAAATTAAAGATACCATGCCACCTTACTTCTATATTATCATGCATCTCCTGCATAATCATGACATTATTACCGAACCGAAGAAATTAAATAGTGGAAATTAAAACACTGGGGGTTTCCTAAGTGATAAGAGCCATAAAAGTGTAAACAAGGGGCGGCTGGGTGGCTCAGGCCTTAAATGTATGCATTCGGCTCAGGTCAGGATCTCAGGGTCCTGGCATCTAGCACCGGGTCGGGCTCCCTGCAGGGAGCCTGCTTCTCCCTCTCCTCCCTACTCCTGATCTCTCACTATCTCTGTCTCTCTCAAATAAATAAAATCTTAAAAAAAAGTACACCAGGACATTTTGCTGCGGACTGACAACAGGTCACATTAACATGACCCGTTTAAGTCTGGGTCTCCACTTTGTCCTTGGGATATCACAAAGTCCTCTTCTGCTGTGTGAAGAGGAACTCAAAAGCAAGGTCTTTATGTAACATCTCCAACCCACAGATAGTTGGGAGGCGTTCAGGTGAAGTATGCTTTTTTTTTTTTTTAATGATATAACTTTAGCCTTTTGATTTCCCAGGATGTGTAACAGACTGGAGTTTGGAGTAGGGCTGGTTAGTTTGATCTGAGCCCACCAGATGCTTCCAGAAATGCAGTAGCTCTCCTCTGCACTTTTCCTGGGTTTAGGATTCGCAACAGTGTACCCCGTCCGACCCTCCTCCAGCTGTGGCCCGGCCCTCGGGCACCTGGAAAGCCCCGCGCCGCTGAGCTGTGGCCGGCGCCCCCGGGGGGAAAGCTCCCCCTGGCCGCCATCCGTCTCTCTTCCTCACCGTCAGGCACGCAACCTGTCCTCACGGTTGCCTTCCCGGTTCTTCTGACCCTGGTGCCTCCTCTTCCACGACCTCTACTTCCAAATACCCTAGAGTTACTTCTCTTCAATGCACGTGTCTACTGTGCCCCGTGCACAGCACGATGCCCTTCACCAGCGGTCTTCCCGGATTCTGCGGTCTGGTGCAAGAGCAACCACCTCTCCGGCTGGAGGTAACCCCTCGGCTGCCGGGGAGGCGCGGCCGGTGGGACGCGCTACTGAGCATGCGTACCGGCCCCCGGAGGCGCAGCGCGTCGCACGCGCTACTGAGCATGCGTAGCGGCCCCTGCGTGCTGCAGAGGCGCGGGCCGGAAAGGCTTTCCGGAGGAAGTGAGTGTGAGAGCGGGAGAAGCCGGCGGAGGCTTCTGCCCCGCACATTATTTCAAGACGACCGCTCCCACTGTGAAGCCGATCAATGCGGGGGACCGTATTACTCGCCAAGTGTCGAGGATGCAGAATTCGAATCGGAAGGATTGCGGCCCTTTACCTCCACCTGCTTAGGAGTGAGCGAAAGAAGCGTTCAGCGCTGGGCTGGACGGGAAGCGGAAGTGGTGTGTGCCGTCCTTTTAAACTTCCTGTGGCCCGTTGAGGATTCTGCAGCTGTTCGCCTAGAGGTGCGGCGCCTGGTGAGTGCTCGGGAAGGGTGGTGGGGTCCCTAACTGAAGAAGGCAGCCTGGAGGCGTCTGGCGTTTGGCGGTGGGCTGGAGGATCTGTGATGAGTGACTGGAGAGGTGGCTTGGGTGTGAGAGCAGGTGTGGCGGGAGTGGGTCAGCGAGGGCTAGGGATTACTCCTTAGGGACTTTTGGTGGTCAGTGTTTGGTTGGCTGTGTGAGTCCGATAACCTTAATGTGGTGGGTCCCTGGATGGGGTGACTTGCTTCAGGATGAGATAGCAGTGTGTGGGCGTGAGTGGTTGGATAGCCTCATTTGTGTTTGTGGTTGAGTAGCGTGTCGGGGTTGTGCACAGGTCTGAGAAGTGTGGTGAATTGGGGGAGGTCTTGATGGGCAGGGGGTTTTCGGTAATTTGACTCCACCGCCTCTGAAAATGGGAAAAGGCTTTCTGGGGGTACGAATCTCATAGCTGACACACAGTTTGGTCCGTCATACCCAATCACCTACGCAAGGCCTGTTTCAACTCTCCTTTGACCCCAACTCATACTCTCTTCTTACTCGTTCTATGAAAAATGAAAATACTTTTAAGTGACTAGATTAAATTAATCTGCAAAAGATGTGTTATGAAAGGTGTGGCTTCTGCCTTTTGTCCTTGGGTTTTTGTAAATCTCATTTGCGTGTTTCTTTTCTGGTTGATCATGAAACGGGTAGTGAGAAACAAGCCAGTTTCCCCAAAATATGCTACCTAGAGATAACAATTGTTAACTTTTCCTTATGTTTTTTATTTTAGGCTTTTAGAAAAGATTATTTATTTGAGAGAGACCGCTCAAGTGGGGGGGAGGGGCAGAGGGAGAAGTAGAGAGAGACTCTCAAGCAGACTCCCCACTGAGTGCCAGCGGGACTTGGGGCTCGATTTCAGGACCCATGAGATCATGACCTGAGCAAAATCAAGAGTCAGATGCTAAACGACTGAGCCATCCAGAAGCCCCTTTATTTTAGGCTTTTTATGCCTTTTGAAGTTATTAATAGAATAATTTCTTAAAACTGACTTATATATACATTCCCATATTCTTTTTAAAATACCTTTTTAATAGATTTTTTTAAAGATTTTACTTATTTGACAGAGAGCACACAAACAGGGGGGAACAGTAGAAGGATAGGGAGAAGCAGGCTTCCCACTGAGCAGGGAGCCGGATGCGGGGCTCAATCCCAGGACCCTCGGATCATGACCTGAGCCGAAGGCAGATGCTTAACCGACTGAGCCACCCAGGCACCCCTAAAATACTTTTTTAAAAGGTAAAAAAATACTTTTAGTATTCCATCAAGTGAATACACTATGGAATTTTGCTTGGTGTCACATTAAAACTATACATAAATTTAGGAAGAACAATCTATACTTTTATCTTAATACAAATTGGTCTCTCCAGCTACTCAAAATTTTCGGGTTTTATTATATAGGTTCTGGATATTTATCTTGTCTTTAATAATTTTTACTGCTATTGCAAGCATTTCTTTTTGCCATTTAAACGTTTGTTTCAAATTTTGCTGTAGAGAAAAGCAACTAAAATACCTATCTTGGGGTGCCTGGGTGGCTCAGTCCATTAAACATCTGCCTTCCTCTCAGGTCATGATCCCAGGGTCCTGGGATTGAGCTCCTCATCCGCCTCCACCCTCAGTGGGGAGTCTGCTTGAGGATTCTCTCCCTGTGCCCCTCGCCCACTCACACTTTCTCAAAAAGAAATAAATCTTTTTAAAAAATCTATCTGGGCCCATTGCTGAATTTACATTATTCATAGTTTTCCGTTTTTTTTTTTTTTTTCTCTCGAGATTTTTTAGGAAAGCAGTCACAAAATCTTCAAATGATTTTAGTGGAAAGAATGTGGATTTTTAAAGTCTTGGTTTGTATCTCAATTATACCACTAGCTAGAACATTGGGAAAGTTACCTAAATTCTCTGAGTGTCCAATTTCTCATTTGTGTAAACTAAATTCATAGTGACTCAGGGTTGTGAACATTAAGTAAAATCTATGTAGAGTAGCTAGAACAGTGGGTGACGGTTGCACTTTAACTGTTTCTCTTATTTTCTTTCAGTTTATTCAGTTACATGCTATATTTTTGTGTGTCTTGCCTCTTTCCTTCAACATTATGTTTATGAGCGTCATCTATGTTACATGTATCTTTAGTTTCTTATCATTTCATTCATTCATATTATTAATATGGCACAGTTTATTTTTTTCCATTTTACTGTGGATGGACATTGGAATTGTTTCTCATGTTTGGTTATTATACACTGTGCTATTGTGAACATTCTGGTATACATATCCTGGTTTACAAGTCTCCATAAGTTTTTCTGAGATATTTACTTGTTGATTGATCATAACAATAACTTCACTAGCTAACACCATGTTTTTCCTGAAGGAGATCTTCTAATTTGCACCCCTATCAACAGTGTGTGGAAGCTCCTTTTGCTCTAAATCCTTGCCAGCCCCCTGTATTTTCAAATCTTTTGCTTTTGGTCCATCTACTGGGATTGTGGTAGTATCTCACTGTAGTTTTAATTTACATCTTTATTATCAATAGGACTGGGCCCCTTTTATTATGTTTCAAGGACATTGGATTTCATTTGTATAACATGCCTCTTCAAATTTTTTTGCCCAGTTTTTGTGGGGTTATCTGCCCATTTTTAATTTTAAGATTTTTTTTGAAGATGTCATTTATTTGAGAGAGAGAGGGGCCATGAGCAGAGAGAGGGGCAGAAGAAGAGGGAGAAGCAGACTCCCCACTGAGCAAGGAGCCCGGCACGGGGCTCGATCCCAGGACCCTGAGATCATGACCTGAGCCGAAGGCAGATGCTCAACTGACTGAGCCACCCAGGTACCCCTTATTTTTTTAAGATTTTATTTGTAAGTAATCTCTACACCCAACGTGGGGCTCGAACTTAAAACCCTGAGGTCAAGTTGCATGCCCTACCAACTGAGCCAGCCAGATGCCCCATATCTTCCCATTGTTTAAAAATTGATTTGTTAGTTCTTTATATTTTCTACACATGAGTCCTAGTTGGTGATACATGTTGCAGATGTTCTCACATTCTATGGCTTATTTTTCACACTTTTTAAAAGATGGTCAGATTTTTTTAAGTAACTATTTTTAATTGCTCTTGTTACTACATAGAAATGCATTAAACTTTATATATTGATTTTGTATCTAGCTATGTTATAAAACTTTGTTAGTTTTACTAATGTATTTGAGGAGTCTTTGAATTTTTCTTTGTAAACAATCCTAACAAAAGCAAATTATTGCATTTGTTTCATCTTTTCTATCCTTACAGGGTTTTTTTTTTTTTTTCTTTTCCTTGTTTTTTCCTGGCCAGGACAATCAATATAATGAAGAATGGAAATACTGCTAGTAGGCATTCTTTTCTTCTTGACCTCAGTTTGGGAAAATTTTCAGTGTTTTACTCTTAAGTATGATGTTTGACGTAGGTTTTTTGATAAATACTGTTTTTTTGGACTAAGAAAGTTTCCTTCTAGTTCCCACTTCGCTAAGATTTTTGTTGTTTTAGTCATCAATGTAAGTTGAATTTTTTCAAATGTTTTTTGTTATCATGATTTTTCTTATTTAATTGTTGTGAATTACATTTATTGACTCTAGGATTCTAAATCAGCTTTGTACTCCTGGGGCATCTGGGTGGTGCAGTTGGTTAAACATCTGACTCTTGGTTTTGGCTCAGGTCTTGATCTCAGGATTGTGAGATCAGGCCCCACGTCAGGCCCAGTGCTGAGTCTGCTTGAGATTCGCTCTCCCTCTCCTTCTTCCCCTTCCCCTGCTCTCTTTCTCTCTCTCAAATAAATAAATAAATTTAAAAAAAATAAGAATAAATCAACTTTCTACTCTGGGTATAAAACCCGTGATGACATCCTAATTAGCTTTTCTTTGCATTGCTGGATTTGACTTACTATTCCTTTGCATGGTATCATTGGTGTTCATGTATGAGATTTGCCTGTAATTTTTTTTTCTTGGACTGTTCTCAAAACTCAGTTTCTACCAGTTATTATGTTTCCCAATAGACTATACTTTTGAAGTTGCAGATTTTAATACATAGTCAAAAATTCAAAAATAAGTCCCTATGCACCTGGGAAACTCCTTGCTGACTGTTATCACTTTTCTTGCAGAGCAAAGCACCAGCCGAATAGCAAGTCCAGATCAGTTCAAACTAGTCTGAGACACAATGGCTACCAAATTTGATCTTTCACTGACTTTTACCCTCATTGTATACTAAAAATCATGGGGGGAGGGGGTGGAGATTTAATGTGTTAGACATGCAACACATGAAGCATGACCTTCAAGTGTGCAGATATAAATAAACCTCTGCCTCTCCATGCTGACGTGTCACCTTTTTCCCACTGAAGTTTCTTTAAAACCTTTCCCTGATCTCTCCTCAGGGAGTCAGCCTAAGGAATTCCTTCCTTTGTGCTGCCTCCCTTGTGTTTGACCATAAGCCCCAATAAAGCCTTGCATGTGCTTTTAAATTTTGGGTCCACGGGCACCTGGGTGGCTCAGTAGTTAAGCGGCTGCCTTTGGCTCAGGTCATGATCCCAGGGTCCTGAGATTGAGTCCCTAATTGGGCTCTCTGCTCAGCGGAG